CTTTTAGATTTATTAACTTTTCACCCAATTTCATTGGATGTAATCTCCCAATATTTAATTCTAAATGTTCAACAAAAACATGAAACGGTCCCAAATCGTTAGGTTTAAATCTATTTGTTAATTGGTATAATAAACGTTGTTTATCATAATACGAGTTTTTGTCGGATTCCAAGTTTTTGTCGAGTGTATCTGTACTAGATAATTCATTTAATTGATTATTATTTTTATTGTTTATACATGAACTCATATCAATATCTTCAGGTACAATGATATCCTCAACAAGAACGTTAACTCGACTATCTTTATTAAATTTACCATTCGGCGGCCCCTTGCCGCTGGTGGATGAGTTGTTTTCCCCGGACATTGGTCCGGGGCAGAAATATTCAAGAAATCAAAATTTACTTACAGTAGTTTTCCTTTTAAACACAAACTTAATATACTAATAACTAATAATGTGAACCAAATAACCTACAAACACCGATGTCACTTTGTATAGCGTATGATAGACGACTTTACTAGCCAACAGTCGGAGTAAGAATGAAAATATTTAATAGTTGTTCACTGTTATTTTTGCGAGTTTCTAGTTCACTTCGGAGTTCTTTTAAACCTACTTGTTGGATGGATGTCTTGTCAATTATTGAGAATTTTTCCGTGACTTTGATCTTCAAAAGTTTTGCTTAATTTCTGAGAATATCTTTAACGTGATATTCCCAACCCATTAGTACCTTTAACATTCGGAGAAATCGTTGATGTAGAAGGTGATTTGCTTTTCCTAGCAGCCAGCAGTTTTCAAAACAGGCTTAACCTTATTCGCGTCATCATCTTTTCTACGTTGTGCATCCCCAGAGAAAGATTTTGTTACGCCTCTAATTAGAATATATTTAGCACGTGTTATGCGATCTACAGCTTCGTTAGCAATATTATCTGTAAATTCGGTAAACTTAAATATATTAATCTGGCTGAGCTTAGTATTCAATTTAGTTATTTTATAACAGAGTCATCAATTTCTGTGCGAATTTCCATTATAAAATCCAGCAGATCTTTTATTTCCGAAAGATTAGAAATATTGGAGCTGCAAGAGTTACAAATGATACTCAATCCACGAATTTTCTGTCGGGTGACGCGATCCTCTGAAAAAAGGTCGGTTCATGTGATATGTATTACTGCTTATTGTTTAACCCAATTATTTTATTATCAGTAGTAGTATCCCTAGGACATTAATAACAGACGAGATAATTTCATGACAATTGAAAGCTCGTGCCTTGGTAACAGCACGAAGCCGAAGGCTGAGTGCTGTTACCAAGCAACGAGCTTGAGAAATTTGTCATGAAATTATGAGGCATTCATCAATGTCCGAGGGATATTCGGCGGATGTTTCGAAAAAAAAATCACAACTCAACATAACGAAACATTTATTTATTAAAAGTACAGTTAGTGAAAGTACAATTATTAAAATTTAATTTAACATTAGAATTTTTTCTTTGATTAGCGCATTTATACTTTGAACATTCTCATTGCCGAAACGTGACATTTTGAAATTTATTTGGATGAAGTTGTCAAACTCGATAGTGTTGTCATAGGGATTGAAAATTGCACTGAATGCAATTATCAGTCTAATGTTGACATGATTGGGTGAAATTGTTCCACATGACACAAAATGACGAAATTTGAATGGTTGTTAGAACAGTCGAAAAATTATCAAAATAATCAGTTTTCGAGCAGTTTGAACAAAAAGAGGTGGACGGCATGATTCGGTTTTTCTTGTATGTTTTAGTAGTTGGTTTTATATTAATAAATTGTGAAATTGTACTCACCATAATTATTCGCTGTAACTGAACTTTTTACACAAAATTTTTACAAACACTTCTGAGTATGATATATAGAACACTTATTTCTTTGCGAAATAATGATTTTTTACAGAGTAATCCTCAAAATCAATACGAGCACAAAATTTTACGTGTGTCGTCGGCCTACTAGCAAGTTGTGTGTGAGTTGTATGTCTCTTTTTTCGTCCTATGTTCTTAAATATTCTGTTTTGTTCATGTTGATGGTGAGGGCCCAATTCGCATTCCTTGTTTAACTGTTGAATTATATAATCCATGGCTTCCTCATCGTTTGCCAAAATCACTTGATCGTCTGCAAAGAAAAGATTTGTTATGTATTTATTTCCAAGTTCCAATTCCATCACTGTGCGTTTTCTTCTCCAGTTATTGAATACTTGCTTAATATAAAACTGCAGCAGCTAATAATATGCTAATATTATTACATGTAAGAAGCCTGAGAGGAATAGACGGAGACACAGATCATTACTTAGTCAGAGCAAAAGTCCAATCCAGAATATCTAGCCACAAATACAATAAAACAACTATAAACCCACAATGGAACATGGACGCAATACACAATACAGAGAAACAACAAAACTATAGAGAACAACTTGAAGAAACCTTGAACTCTGAAAGAGAATACAATGATATAGAACAGCTATGGGAAACGACTGCCGAAATAATAACCAAGACAGCGGACAAGATGGAATGTCGGAAACAGCTGGAAAAAAGACAAAAAGTAAGGAAGACCTGAATACAACTGCCGTAAAGAAACAAAAAAAACACAAAGAAAAGAAACTATGAACAACAAAAATGTAAAGCTATGGAGAGAGAATTCAGAGGCTCCAGAGAATTCTATAAAGCAATTTCCTCTGAGAGAAAAGGACATAGAACCAATTCCATCCATACACATGATGAAGAGATGAATCTATGTTATCTTCTAGAATAAAGTTCGTAATATAATTATTTATTAGATCTTTATATAAGTCCCAGTTTGCTGAGTTTAATTTTCATTTTTGATAAACAGGAATATTCGGTTTATCATGCCCAATGGTTTCAATTTTTAGGGGAAAATGATCGCTGCTATATAGATAATCAATACTATTCCAAGAAAAACGTGTAGCTAATGAGTGATCACACAACGAAATATCGATGGCAGAAAAAGTACTATTGTGGGAGCTAAAATGAGTAGATTTACCAGTATTCATTAATATTAGATTTTGATTATCTATTAATTTCTGAAGAAATCTACACCATTTGTGTGGTTTTATACTACCCCATATGATATTATGACAATATCAAGTCACCAAGTATTAGTTTGGGAGCAGGAATATCATCGATTAAGCGCTGTAAGTCTTCAAGTACATTTTCATTTGGATGAGGTAGGTAAATGTTCCATATGTTAATAGGTCTGCAATTGATATTGCATGATACAGATACAGCAAGGGCTTCCAAATTAGTGTTTAGGTGAATTTTTCTTGCTTATACACAATTTTTTACGAAAATACCTACTCCGCCGATGGCGTGTTCTGTGTCGCGATTTTTGAGAAAGTTAGTATAGTTTTTAATACGTTTTTAGTTTTAAGATGTGTTTCCTGTAAACAGATTACTCGGGGAGACAATTCTTTCATTAAAATATTAAGAGATTCTACGTTGTTGTAATATCTGTTTAGGTTCCATTGTAAAATAAATGTATTAGCCATTTTGGGTACCTGACTGAGAAACAGAGATATCAGTTTCTACATCCGATGAGGAATTAGTGATATTGAATTGTAATCTTTTTCTTAGCCTTGTTAATTTGGATTTTATACTGCGGTCTTAAATATGATCATGTGCAAATAATAGAATATCTTTAAATGATATCATATTTGTTGTGTAGTTTTCTACAATGCAGTTAGGGTTTTTTGAGTTTAAGGCATTTTGTATCGCATCACAAATAACATTAAAATCAAGAGGAAATTTTGGAGACCTAGACTCACATTCATTTTTAATTGTCTCTTTAATAACATCAGAGGGTGAGGCTTTTTGGCGTTTCATTATGTGTTTAGGTTTTGTAAAAGAAGTTGTGTCAGTTGATGTTTCCTGTATTTCAAGTGAAGTAGATATTTGTCTTTTGGTTATGTGTAGGGGGGGGGAGTTGTTCGGTATTTAATGGAGGGAAATTTGTTTCATTGGTTTTTTCTGTGGACAAAGTGTGTTTTTCTAATGATGGTTGATCAGATACCTACTAAGGTTTCAATGTTAAGAATTTGAACGTTAGTGCAGTCGGTATCCATTATCGGTATCCATTAGGGGAGGTTGTTATGGAATTACATTCTCTGGTTAATAAGGGCTATTTATGTTAAGTGTTGTTTGTTGACATGTTGATGGACAATCAATTTCCCGATGTCCTTTTGTTGCACACTTAGTGCAATTTAAGTTATCGAGGGTAAAGTATATATGGTAGTTGGTGTTTTCATAGTAAATTGTAACAAAGTCTGGGTTAAGGATAGTATCATCAGGAGTAACAAACACTTGGCGGCAAAAAAACATGGCTGTATGCAGTATCCGGCATGCCTACTTTCAAAAAAGGTATTCTAGATACTGTTTGAAGTCCCAGCTTTTTCAGTTCATCTTTTATTAAAGTGTTTGGGATGGTAGGGCAGACATTCGAAATGACGAGTCTTGTGGCTGGGGTGATTAATCTTCTAATTTCAATTTTTGTATTATTCAATATTAGTGAATTATGTGCTTGCAGTAAGGAATCCACGACATTAGTACTGGTACGGTAAATGCATACTCTATTGGCAAATAGAATATTTTGCGGTTGCACTAAATTTCTCATAGCAATAATGTATTCATGAATTTTGACGTCATTGATACTAGAGAGAACAACAGCTTGCTCTTTGGTCGGATATTTGAAAGAAGTAAGGGCACTGGCATATGTATTTGATTGGTTGGTATGGTGAGAAGCCGAAGTCTCCATCACGATTTTCATCCATTTTATTACACTTTATTACAGAGAAATACTTTATTTTTTAACAAGTACAAGTACAAAAATAAAAGCAAGCTTTTATGGAAAGAAGTTTAAAAGAAAGCAATATGTATTTTTCGCTAATGTTAATGATGTGACGCATGCTACTTTGATAACATCTCTGCTAAAATAATGCTCCAAATATGTATCTCTCTTTCTTCCAGACAAATGTTTAGCTCCACCTGAGATGGGAACGTGTACCAACTTCCAACAATCTTGGTTTTATGATCCAATGCAAGGTATTTGTCAACCTTTCGTTTATAGCGGATGTGGAGGCAACAAAAACAAATATGATTCACAATATGACTGTATGAAAGCATGTATTAAATAAAATAAAATCTTTAAATATCTTTATGACTTATTTTTTATTATATATATATATATATATATATATATATATATATATATATATATATATATATATATATGTCGTAGGCAATCGGCGAAACACGTAATTCCATGAAAAGCCTAGTCATTACAGGTATTGCCGGCAAACGCTGTATTCCAATCATTATTACTTTGTTTGACTGAAATTATTCGGCATTCCGGGGACTGCCGCGCCGTCTACGGTTTAGGCAAACGGTGAAACCGCCCGAATGAACGTTACAGCGTCTGACGGTTGTATGTTCAGTCATTTTAAATAAATTGGTGAGTTATTCGTCCAGTCAATGTTGAGACAAATAAATCCGAAACAGGAAAGAATATTAGCAGGATAATAAAAATTAGTAACAGGCATTTTGATGAATATAGTTTAGTAAAATTAAATAAAAAGAAAGAAAAGAAAAAAATAAGAAAAACAAATCAAAATAATGTTTTTATTTTAATAAAATAATGAATGAATTCTAATGGTAGTACCAACTACATTATTTCGTAACCTGTTCTGTTAGCTATTTTATTATTTATTTAAACAAGTGACGCTATGATGGCATCTAGAATTGCACATATTTTTGTTGTTAAAACACACGCAGCGATTTGTTTGGCATTGTTTCTTCGAAGGTTTGCAAGAACACCTCATATATCCTTGACCATGACGCAATGAGACTGCAGCGACAGCTTCTCGCACAGAAATATATTTATACGGCACTTGTTCTAATATAATAATAAACACTATCAACGAGATAACGTGATAAAATCTTTTCGACGACTGAATTGACTAAACATACAACCGTCAGACGCTGTAACGTTCAATCATTCGGGCGGTTTCACCGTTTGCCTAAACCGTAGACGGCGCGGCAGTCCCCGGAATGCCGAATAATTTCAGTCAAAGAAAGTAATAATGATTGGAATACAGCGTTTGCCGGCAATACGTGTAATGACTAGGCTTTTCACGGAATGACGTGTTTCGCCGATTGCCTACGATATATATATATATATATATATATATATATATATATATATATATATATATATATATATATATATATATATATATATATATATATATCGGAAAAAGGAGTACGACCGTCAATCCAATATATATATATATATATATATATATATATATATATATATATATATATATATATATATATATATATATATATATATATATATATATATATATATAATATAAGGATCACTCAGACGAGTGGTGGGTTCTTATATCGGTCTCTAGGTGGAGAAATAAAAGACAAAGTTGATAGGCTACTTTATCTATTTTGAAGACGTTTCGCTTTCGAGTTTTGAAAGCATCATCAGTTCATCTAAAAAAGTACAATATGAGAACCACACAATCATGGAAACGATGTTAATTGTTACCTTAAAAAGACATGTAGCAGTCAATGTTATTAACAATAATGTGAATGAAACTTAAGTAAATGGACATAATACGCTGATCTTGTATAAACAATTAAGTCACTAACAACATATATGAACTTATAAAAATTAGCACAGCAAATGACCATGTGGTCTAAGTAAATTAAATGTTATTTAATGTTAATTGGTGAGCAAGAACCAAGAAAATCATTACTTCCAATTATTTTATGATCATTAAGCTTTGATTTTAATTTTAGGTAGCATTATAAGTGATATTAATAAAAATTATAAAAGTAGTGTAAATGAAGTTACCGATCAAAGCCCTACAAGTGTCGCCGGAAAAATGGCGTTAGATGATCCGGAACGAACTAAACCGCGAAAAGACAGCCAACCTTGAGGTCAAAATACTTTTGACAGATCAGCAAGGTGGAGGTACCAACCCAAATAATTGGGCGGTCAATTTAAAAGTTTAAATGAGTTTAGATGACTATCCGGTTGTAAAAGACAAAACAGTGAAAGAAATTGGTATTGTAATAGCAACTCCTCTCACTAATCAGCCTAGATTTACAAACAGGTTTCTTCTACAATTTTTTGTTTAGTATCGACCGTATATTATTTAAAATATTTTGTTGGGTATATGACAGGTTCTATCGGTCTGGAATTAAAACAATTCTGTTTTTTAGTCACTTAATATTTCGCCAATTAATTATTGCCTTCATCAAAAGTGTCCTACAAATATATTAAAACAAAGAGATAAGCAACATTACGATAAAATTACATAAATATGTACTTACAGAGGTAGAACTGTTCACAAAAGAAGAGACATGATTTCAAAATGTCAAACATATGTTTGACACTTTGACAATTTTCAAAATAAGTTAATATACACATAAAACAACAACAAGTGTATAGCGGATTAGACGATTTTTTTGAAATTTTTATATATAAAAAATATGGTAGCAGGTATATCGTAAATTAATATTGACTTAAATAAATTGCAGAATATTGTTGTAGATGCTGCTTAGCTGATTCGTATCTGTTTTGTAATTTATTACATTTTTTGTTTTAGTAATATAACACATTTCCAGAAACAGCTTGTTTTTATAATTAGTTGATGTTTGTAGGATTTTAACATTCGTATAGTCAAATTTGTGACCTGTATTGATGGAGTGTTCGACAACAGCGCATGTGTTTTTACCTTTATCGCAGTCACTTTCATGCTGGGTAACACGTTGTTTTAACCATTGGCTTGGCTGTCCAATATAGCAACCTTCGCAGCTCAAACACAGTATTTAATAGATTGTATTGGTAGTATACATTTTTGGTGTTTTATCTTTGACCCGAGAAAATAGACTGTTGTTAATAATATCGCTGTATATACCAATTCTGATGTTATTGTATGGTATGGGCTGTAATCTTATTTGTTGGATTATTAACAAAGGGCAATCTTTTATATGTAAAGTTTTGTGAAGTATCTGTATCCAATGGTCCATCATAATAGTGGGAATTGTAAGTTAATTGTTTAAGGAGTGGCTTTAGATAACCGTTGTTAATAAATATTTCAAGTAATTTGCTCTGACTATTATTATTTAGAAGCTATTCGTCGCATATATTGAGTATTCTATTTTTTATAGCGAGAACTGTATTATATTTCTGGTTTTTTGGGTGATTAGAAAAAAAGTTTAGAAATCTGCCTGATGCAATAGGTTTTGGTACCAATCTAGTATTATACGATTGTCTTCCGTGCGGATTACTTTAGTGTCCAAGAAAGACACACTATTATTAGTTTCTCTTTCAACAGTAAATTGTATTTTGTTATTAAAAGAGTTAAACGCATTTAAGATGGTGTCGACTTGATCGTTTGGTACCGCACAGATAATATCATCGACAAATTTGTATAGGAGTGTTAGTATAAATGTGAGGTTGATTGTGGTGTTTTCTATTAGATGATCTAAAACAATGAGTGCCAACATTTTACTTATCGGACTACCCATGGGAGTTCCAAAGGTTTGACGATAAAATGTGTTATTGACTGAAAAGTAGGTACCTATTTTTAAAAATGAATTTTAGTAATTTCAAAAAATTTTCTTTAGTTAAGATTGTGTGGGGTGTTATTAGTTCCCATTTTAGACATATAATTAAATTACTTAGTCTCCGGAATATTAGTGAATAGTGAGATTGCATCTAGAGAGATTATTACCTAGATATATTGTGTACCTCTGATCTTATTAACAAATGTGAATGTATCTCTAACATTAACATAACAGATGCAGAACATAAAAATGTGTAGTTGGACATAATGTTGTTTACCTTTAACAACTTTTTTAAATAATGTGACATTGCATGTTAAGGTCTCTACGAAATAAACAAGACAAACACATTTCTCCTTCTTAATATGCCTATGCGTTACAAATGTTCACGATGGCGTTCATCGTGGCAATCTTTATCTTATCTGCAGCAGCGCGGAAAAGCTGCACATATGTTGTATTAAACCAGATTCTGAGGTTCTTTAACCAAGATGTTCTTCTTCCTGGACCTCGTTTTCCAAATATTTTTCCTTGCAGGATGGCTTAAAGGAGAGCATACCTGGATTCACTTTTCATAATATGTCCGAAAAATTGTAACTTTCGAGATTAGATGGTGGTCAGTACTTCTCGGTTCTTATTTATTTTTCTGAGGACCTCCTCATTTGTGACTCGGTCAGTCTACGGGATCTTAAGTATTCTCCGATATAGCTACATCTCAAATGCTTCTAGTTTTCTGCACATATCTGATTTTTGGTGATTATTTGGTATACCCTCTTGGACCACCACGTAACGGTTAGTGGGTTATTTTCTGTCTCAAGACACTTCATCCCAAGACAGCGACCGAAATAGACCTAGTTTGATCAGTTCTTGTGCCATCTAGCCCGGGCGGGCGTCCCGACGTGATACCAACGAGATTGCACTAGATAAGAATCTTACGACATCAATATTTCAAGGGGTAAGTCGCTATTTTCGCTACTTTCATTTACAAACAAAACATTCCATTTGTTCTTCATTATTATTTATCTAATATCATTTAACCAGCGACCTCTTAAGTTTTATACAAATCATTTGTCCACTTCGACTGGATGGTAAATAATTATAGCTTTGATTCAATTAATTTCATTGTGTTTCAATTAATTCATTTTACTTAATTGTTTTTTTTTTGTTTCTTTTTAAATTAAACTGTGATTCGGTCCTTCGCTCATTATTTTTAAACTTAATTTACATAATTGAATTGGATCCTATTTACATAGCAATTTTAAAATTTATTTCTGTTTTATAATTCATAATTTCAGTAGGTAAAATACTTTTATATATATATATATATATATTTACGGCATAAAGTGGATTCCGCCCATGTTAAAATTCAGGTTCAGGTGAGCTCCGTGGTCAAGTGGACACCGATATACGGAGCTCACTTGACCATTCCATAATATTGGCTCTGTCGATTCGTCAACATGTATAGTTTCATAATTTTTAAAAAAATTTTGGAGCCCATAATTATCCCTGTATCATAAATGTATATCGCTTAGTTCACGTGTATATATTA